AAAAGCATGCAACATAAGATGCAAAGAATGATAAAAAAATGCTCTAATTCTGCTCCTTGCATGAAGTTTTTCAGAGAAGCAGCTGTTTCCATGCTGAAACAACAACACCATCATCATCCTCAGAGAGTAACAAGATGACAAAATAGCTTCTAGGCTTCACTGTGCACTTCACTAGTAAGTAATATTCTTTGGACCTGAAACCCATTAAAAATAACCAGTTAATCAGGAAGTCGCCAGTCAGCGCAGCAAGGAGACAGCAGGGCCTAGGAACTATATGCAGAGCAAAAAGCCTTCTAACCAAAGGATGTGCTGCTCGCCTGTTTGTTTAGAAAACTAAATCTGCCTCCATTTTCTGTACTAAAACCATTTCTTGCTACAACTAGAGAGATCCTTACCTTCTGCAGAAGCTGAGAACCTGAGTATTTAGCTGCGATGGATTTGATTTCCCCTCCAAAAGCAGAGGCCCAGAGCTTTACACTGTGGGGGCAGGGGAAAAAAGACAGGAAGAAATGTAATACACATGTTACAGTAGGCAACAAACAAACAGAGCATGACAGCCTCAACTGCACCCTCAAGAATCTAAGCAATGTTGTGTTAAAAAGCACTGTTAAGAAATAACACCACCCCAAAAGAAAAGAGGAGCTATTCACAAGTACAAGCTGAAGGAACATGTAGTTCAGACCAAGGTAAGGCCTTGGATTTAAAGTTGCTTTAACTGCACTTACAAATAAACAAACAAACGGATTTGTAAAGAGACAGGATTTTGCATAATCTGGAAGGTACTAACTGGCTGCAAGAAGGAAGATGAAATAGGATAGCATTGGACCTGAAATCCGCATATAAGAATGAGTAAATGCCCCATACATAAAGGCTTTTAACTTTAGCGTCTATACATGTTTATCCCCCGCACACCCTCCCCTAAAATAAAAATCAAGCAGCAGTGAGTTAATCATGACACTGGACTTCACACAGACCTGGTAACGGAATAAAATGCTCGTATCAGTCAAATATCTGCAACAAACAACAACAAAAACTTGGGCACCAGGGCTCCAAGTTTCCACTCCTGCAGCGTGGCCAGAGAGCCAAACCATGCAAACACTTACACCGACAAGGGGATCTGCTGCTCCGATCCGACCACATCCACGAAGGCGGTGTTAAAAGCTGTCCAGAAGATAAAGAAGAACCCCCAAAAAGCCCGGAGTAGGTTCAAAATCATGGTTTCTCTCGGAGCCTGAGAAGACTTGGGGGAAATTCGAGCACAGCTGAGCTGAACAGCAGAACCGCTTGCTCCCCCACTCTCCTCCAAAGCAACGCTGGAGAGGGGAAAGATATCACAGCTCCATCCTCATCCCTCCCGGGAGTGGCCCTCTCTGGATAATGGAAGGAGAGGATCGGAGGGGGAAAAGCGCTAACGACTTTAAAAACTATTGTGTCCTTGGTAACAGCGACGCGTTTTCCAGCCCTGCTGCAGCCACTTGCATGTAGTTCTCTACAACTCCGCAGTCAGCAGTGAGCCGAGTTACTTCAGTGCCCTGCTGCTTCTCCAAAGTGCCCTTAGCAGCGAAGGAGCAGCCTCTATTGATTCCGAGCGGGGAGGCTGCCTCCTTGCAATTACTGCTCACTTTATGGATGGGAAGCTGCCTCGAGTTCTCCTGCTCCCTCGCCGGCACGCTCCAGCCTCCGGCTCCGGGCGAGACAGCCAATACCCGGGGTGAGGGGAGCAGTCTTTGAGTGAGAGAGGCAGGGACCAAGGGCAAAGTGCCGGGGTCCGGCAAAGTCTGGAGGTGCTCAAAGTGGGACCCAGAGCTTTCGGGGGGCGGCTGGAAAGAGCAGCGCGCCTTGCCCGAGGGACTCCGCTGGGCAGGGCTGGCAGGAGTGGGAGGGGGCCGCGCACACCCGCCGGGGCCCCGGCCAATTCAGGCGGTGCACTGCTGCATGACAAGCATCTGTCGCCCGCCCCGCAGAGGAGATTGATGGCGGGAGCTCAGCCCTTCGCGCCGAACGCCGCTGAGCATCCCGGCTGCAGAGTCGGCGCGAGGACGGGAGGCGAGGCTGGCACAGAGGCGCCTCGGCAGAGCCAGTCCCCGGGCTGAGGTCAGGCGCGCACATGGACCCGAGTGGAGTGTCGCATGCCCTTGAGCGCGGCTGCGGCTTCCTCCCTGTCTGAGCGCTGCAGCGAGGCGCTCTCCGAGAGACCAGCACAGGGAAAGGCTTATGAATGAAAGGAAATGCAGCATAAGTAAATCAATGCGGGCTCGGGCACTGGAGAGCATCAATGAATTATTAATCTGTGCTTTTGTGGAGGAATCCCCTTAGTGAAGTGGGCATAAGATTCACAAGGAGCCACAGAGGGAGCAGGAAGGATTCATTCAGGTAGTTTTTGGTGTGTTTTAACCTCCCCCCGCTTGCTTCTCTTCCCCCCTCCCTTCTCCCGCCTTCGCTTGTTCTTACCCTCCATCTCCCAAAGCTAAAGACTTAAAATAGCGTTTGAACTTTAACGTAAATAAGCATGCCAGGAATTAAAGATGATCTGAGCATGGGCTGAGTCATCCTTACACTGTGCTAGAGAGACCCGCTACTGAGACACTAATGCACAGGAGCTGGGATTCTAGTTTACCTAGCTCGGCAGTTGGAATTAATGTCTAATTAGCCTATATTCCTTTGTACACAGTGTACTTTTCTTGTGTAGCATTTCCTCCCTTGAGATTTCATACACAGCACCGGTACTTTGCTTTCACATTAACTTTTACAAGTGTGCTGAACAGCTTGCCGTACAGAGTACCATCCCCTTCCACTGCCTGATTGCCATACAACGGATGTCCTGGCCAAAATGTAAGTGCTGTTGAATCAAATGACCAAATCTCAGAAAAAAAGCCCTGAAGATTTAAGGAAAAAATATTCTAAGGCAATTTATATAGTTATTGGGAAAGCTTGGAGTTTAGCTTTCATTAACCACTACTCATTTCCATATGGGAAGTATATTGCCCATATCTTTGGTTTGGAAAAGAAATACCAGTTTTTATTTTGTGAACTTGGATAACCCTTATGACTTTGGGAACTGAGGGCTCCTTTGGTCTGCAAGCTTAAAATCTATGTAACCCAGTAAGCACTCTGTAAGAAATGGTTTAAATGTATTACCATATCACCAGGTGCTCAACCTACCTACAGGCAAAATGTAAAAACATGTATGGATGACTAACCATGTATAATGAATTATACACCCTTTTGAACATGTCCTATAAACAGCAAAACCTTTTCACTACAATATCACACTGAAGAATGGCACAGATGCTTCTCCTATGTTTGTTACACAATCTTTAAATTTTATGTCAGGAAAATAGTTTTTAAGGTTTAAATGTTTTTAATGCATCAGTGCTTTCAAGACACAAGCCAGATAATATTTAAAGTATATATTTGCCAATGTTTGGATATTTCTAAAATTGCAACATAAAATATATGTGAAAACATCACCAGGTAATATGATAGAAGCTTACAGTATCATCAAATTACTTAAGTCTTGACGCTATGGTTTTTTTTAATTTAACATTTCTTTTATTTTATACCACCTCCTATTCACATTTGATTGTGTGTACAGTGTACATAGTTGAATATTTGTACAGTTATAACATGGGAAAAAACTACTTCTCCTCCTCCCCCACACAATAAAGATTTAAACAATATAGAAATTACCCATTTGTTTTTGTCACTAGTCTATATCTATGTTCTATTACTAAACTATAAAATATTTTAATATCTTAAAAGCAGGAAGGAGTCCTGTGGCACCTTATAGACTAACAGATTTATGGGAGCATAAGCTTTTGTGGGCAAAGACCCACTTCATCAGATACTTTAATATCTTAGTCACTTATGTACTCTAGAATGTTTGTACAAGCTTTTTGCAACTTTTTTACCATGCAATAATGGATTGAAAACCTGCATTTAATTCTGTTTAACACATACATCGTCTTCATAAGCAACTGTAAATACATTATTAAACAAATAGACATACAGATGTAGTATCCTATCCTGAGTACTCCTCCTATTCAAGACATGGGAATCACTGAATTCAGCACATCCAGCTTCAACATCATAATACCATGACGTGGAAATTATAATAGCAATGAAAGTGCAACACAAACCAGAAATACTTTTTTTCCCTAAATTGATGATACATAATGTCTATAGGGTGGGGAAGAAGAGGAAAGATAAGTTGTCTACCAAAGGTTATTGTGGAATGTTGATTTGTTTTTACATTGATTGTTGTATGTAAAATGAAAGCTGTAGGTGGTAAATGGAAAGGAAGAATCTTATTCTGGTTTTATATTAAACCAAGTCATTTAAAATAATCCTGAGGTGGAAATATCAAAAAATGGATGGCACCATGTTGTGGTTCCCAATTTAGCAGAACATAGTGAAAGACTGAAATGAGACAGCAGATGAAGTCACCTGAAATTTAAAAAAGATGCATGACTATCAACTTTTAACTTCTTAAATGTTGAAGTTATATTCATACACTATTGCGATAGCATTTGTACCAAATATGCCTATGTGGTACCTTATGTGACATTAGCAATATGCTGCTTTTTAATATTATTGTAAAATGCATCTTTTTACATATGTGAAGTTATGGATTCCTTCTGTATGGTTTTACTAGGACATACTTACCTATTCTAGGTAAAGGTGATAAACAGGTCTACCCTAAACAAAGGAATATGGGCTTACCTCACTTTACATATTAGCAGTCAACATAGCCATTGTGCCAGACTGTCAGGGGTTATCCTGATCCTGAATATGAGAGACAAAGACAGAAAATTAACAGAACTCTTGCTTCCCATAGACATACACAGAAGACCAAATCCCCAGGGGGCCTTCTTGACTTGTCACACAGACCTCCCTTTGGGGATATAAGAAACAGAAAGAGACTCCATCTTTATCCTTCAAAACTGGAATGGAGACCGTAGGTGAGAGAAACCATCTTGAACAAAAGACAGTAACTTGCAGATTAAGTTTACTCTTTGTATTTACTTCCACTTGTATTTGTTTAGCCATTTCTACCTTCATGGGCAGTGTGTGACATCCCCCACGCCCCTTCCACCACCCAGAGCCTGCCCCACCCAGTGTAGGGCCACTGGCCCCGAGCCCCCCACCAAAGCCAGCCCACACAGCCCCTGAGAACCATGAGGAGAGTGGGCAGCACCAGACTCCAGCCTCAGAGTGCAGGGAAGGCAAAGCATAATGGGGCCTGGAGAGAAGCCACATGAGCAGGTAACCTAGCCCAACGGTGGGTGGGGCCACTATTGGTTGTGACCTGCCATCCATTTCCTACCTTTATCCCTTCTATTTGGTATCAATTAATCCATGTTCTTTTGTAAATAAACATGTTTTAATTTTATTATAAACCATCACTACTGAGTAAGTTCAGTAAAGAGTGTGCTTTTAGAAAGCTAACATAACAGGTGACAGTTTTTTATTATCTCTGTAAAGACAAAAAAAACCTATCACTTCCTTTGTGAGCATTAGTCCCTGCAATAGCATGATTTTAAGGTGAATTCAGGACAAGAAGTATATTAAGGTCAGACTGCAAGGAGTAACCAGGCTGGGCAAACAAAGGGTGATACTTGTGACATGCTGGCAAGCAGTTGGGATCAAATATGTATAGCCATAACATACCCAGGCAGATGGTGACCAAACCTCTGACTCTCAGAGAAGCCTTCAGAAGTGCCAGCTGCCTCTAGAAAATATACAGTGATGCAAGGTGACAAAATTTGTATCATATTTATATTCTACTAGAAGATTTACCTGGCATTGCTAGGGTCCTTAACTCAAATAAGTTTTGCTTTCTTTCATTTAAAATCATTGTTCTGGGGATGAAGGATTCAATATGTAGGCTGCCATGAGGAGAAAGGACAACCCCACCTTCTCTCACTACCACATCCTAGGGCCAGGTGAGAAGTGCCTATCCAGGGCCCCTGCAGTGGGCACAGCCAGGGGAAGGGTGCATGTTCCCCGGCTGGGGGATGGACAGAGACACAGACAAATGGACACACAAAAAAACAACTTATCTGAAATATATGTAGTAAACAGCTGTCATTTATTCCACCTCTGGCCCCTGCTGGCCCAATGGAGTTATTGCTGTCCAAGTTCCCATCTCTGGCCCCTTGCTGCCCCTTGTGGTCATTCTACAGTATAACTGTCCCTCCTACCAGGCCATTCCCTTTCCCTTTTATGAGAAACAATCAAATTCCAGACACATCCCGTTGTCCTGGCACAACCAAACCCTTACCTTGTGTTAAGTTATGATAAGAGGAAGCTGCCTACCAAATGTGGTGGTCCTAGCACTTACCATTTAGGGAGAGTTCTCAGATGGATGGACACACAGACAACATTTCTAAAATATATAGTATATAACTACCTTGGAATCTCAGAAGCAAATATTAGTACATTGTGAGCTATAAAAATGAAGATCCTTTCTCAGAGCCTTGAAACTAGTCTGCTTTCAATACATGATAGTCTCAAGTATTACCCACACTGAGCTAAAGGCTGTCCAATAACTTGGGGATTTCCCCATCTCCTATTCTAAGGATGCAAAGTCATCTAATCTTTTACTCATTAATAGATGATCAAGAAAAAGAGTAGACAGTGGTTTACAAACACATGAAAGAGACTTCCTACTCTCTCACACCCAAGAGGTTGAAATTTACCTAAAATATGTGATACGTCACATGGTTGTTCAAAAGGTCAGAGAGAAGATGAACATTGAAAGGCTTCACAAAAGAGCAACATATTAAGGAAGGAACTGAGAGAGTATACTTGGTGAGCAAGAAATGGAAGATAGTTCATAAGGGCAGCATGAGAAAAACAATATAAGCTTGAGTAGAAGAGTAGTAGACTAAAGGTCTATTTTGGCAAAGAGGTAAAGTAAGGAACTATAGAAGCAATTCCAATGTCCTTCCCCCTCTCCTTTCAAATATATTTGCCCATGTAAAGGAGTGGGATGGAGAGAAAAGAAAAGAGCCATTTTCAGCTTTGCAACATACTTTGAGATCTTTGATGGAAGATATGGTTTTGAGACCAAAGAAAACAATTAAGAGAGGCACTAGGGAAGCATATGGAACAGGGGTGGGGAGTAGGAGGAAAATGAAGTAATTAACACAAATGTTTATTGTATTTCTTTTTTCTGTCACATCCTCTCAACAGTGAGCCCTACAGAGATAAGAAAGTAAATGCAAAAGACTAAACTGGCCAAAAACACTTCGCAAAAAAGTGCAAGCTACAGCAACCTGAAATTATTTCCAAAAAATCCACAAGAGTTCATTTTATTTGCCTGTATTTCATAAGAGTTAGAAGATACGTATACTGCAAAGTTATGAAAAGATATGTCCTAGGTGGACTGCACGGCAGCTAACATTCTCTCTTTGTAGCATTTTTCTGGGAAGCTGAAGAGAGAGATTATAATTCTAAAATAGGTGTGTCCTGTGTAATGCTCCTTTCATTTTATAAAAATAAATTCTCCCATTTTTTTCTTCTCTGAAACGTATATAGCCCCAGAGTGACCCCTTAAATAAGAAATGGGAGGAAAGAAGTGTGAAGCAGAAGAAAATGAAGGGACAGGGTTCCTTTATACAACACCGCATTTATGGTGCACTGTATTGAAATGTCTTTCTTGCCTTTAACATTTAGTGACTTTCATTTTTCCATTCTCTTTCTTCTTTCACATGTTTACACATGTAAAATGGAAAAAAGTGAATGAGAAGGATATGATAAAGGTCATATCTAAGCCTCATAAAGCAGTTTAAGACCCTGACATGAAAGGCACAATAAAATGTTAAGTATTATTATTTGGAAACACACCAGTGGTAGAAAGATTGATAAAATAATACTTTACAAATCTTTGGATTGGTTTTATCTGGCATAAGCTTTTAATGGTTTCAAATGAACTGGCATGTCTAAGTGCATTTGTGTGTATGTCTACATAGACTATTTTGTGGCATACCTAACATATGCACATGTATTTTTGGAATTTTATGAAGGTCCCTAGTGTATGAAACTAAGTATTTTATTGGTGTGAAAAAGCTAATTATTGATGGATCCCAACCCACTTAAGACAAAGATTGAGGTCAAGTAACACTACTCGTAGGATTTAGTGAATACAATACTGCATAGTGTGCATGAGTTAGTGCCTTTTAGACTTTACAATATGCTATAAATCTTATAATTGTTTTTGGAGAATTCAATTCTAAAAATACACCCATTATGTCTAAATCTATGTAATGTTACTTTTCCGTAGTTTTATTGGTTTTAAGTCAATATAGATATAAAAATTTTAATTCACAAGAATATTCTTAGTATAGATGCAAGCTATGTTTGTAACCATTGCTTGTGAACAATGGCATTAAAAAAACTATATAGAAGAGCAAAACCCCTTCAAAATATATCATCAGGTCAGTATTTTGAATACATTTTATCTTTGGCATATTTCAACCCAAAATAAACCTCACAGTTTGCCCTAAAACCCCAAGGAATGCATAGTTAATTTAGCTTGCACAAAGACTGTGTTCAGCTGCTGGCTTTAGCATCTCTGCATGGAGTTAAAATGTAAAAGAGCAGAGCATTATCACATCCCAGCCTATGAGAGCTCATGCTGCCTGGGCAAGCTAGAACGCTTTAAGATAATGATGTTTATAGCTAACCAAATCCAATTTAAGCAGTCCACTGTAGCTCTAGTCTGTTAGTTCCATTTCACATAGGCTTAATTTATTTTAAATTTTCAACTATTGAAAAGACTGCTTTTTTGTTTCTTTTGAGTGTCAGGCTAGAAAATGAACTCTTCCAGCAGCAAATGAATTATCTTTTACACCTAAGGCTAGTGTTACGTCGTACACGTTAATGTTTTCATTACGCTCAAAATATTTGAACATAGAAGCTAGTAACTAAAATGAGAAATCATAACTGAGAAATAACACAATGAACTGAATAGTGTGACAAAAAAGAAAAGAGGCTACAGTGTGACACTGATGATAAAAAATGAAGAGCAAAGGTGATAAAGCATTTAAATGATGAATCTAGGATTGTCTGTAGATTACAAAAATCAAATCACTAACCTTGCATAATTTGTTTCAGATGATGAATCTGAGCCATGCAAATTCCTCTGCTTTCCCTTCAAATGACTATCCTCCAAGATGTGGACTTGAAAGATTATTCGAATCATTTCAGATTTGGGATGCATTACAACAAAACATTTATGATACCAAGAACATAGAAATTCAGCAATGGGGATTATGCTCATCTAAAAATCTGAATTTAATTGCAACCAATTTTAGTAGGAGGGAAGCCTTATTGACAAAAATTTAAAAAACCCATTAACTGCAAGTGAGAGATATGGAACATCTTCCGCAGCACCACATGGAAGGTTGAGGGAAGTGGGGGGGGGGGGGGGGGGGCCAACAATCCTCACCTCACACACACCCTGGGCTTGGACAGCAGTAGTGCCTGTGTCCTGTGGGGCTAAGACTGGGTTCCCTCTCCAGATACTGTAAACTAGAGCATGGAGTTGTAGCAATGCTAGGTTTGGATCGGACAACCCTCCTGATGGGAGGACACTAAACCATATTTCAGTGATTAGCACTGCATCCCTGTGCACCAGGTCACAGTGCCCAGAGCAAGGAACTCAGAACACAGAAGTCAAGCTCCAGAGTATGGGGCAGGCTTGCTCTCCAATCCCCCACTCCAGGCCTTTCTTCTGCACTAGGGTGTAGGCTCCGCAGGAAATCACGGCAAACAGAAGTCATGGGTAAAACCAAGAAATCACAACACTGGAACTTTTTCTGCACTGTGACAAACCAGCAGCCCTAATCATGAACGCTGTCTGATCCTAAAAGCCACAGAGAAATCATCACAGAATTGCACAGGAAAAAGATACATGCAAGGAAACAAGCAAAGAAGAGTAAAGTTTTCTACTAAATCAATATACAGTAGCATCAGTTCAAGAACAAAAAATAAAGTCAGTGGCTTAAATTCAGGATATTAGATTTTCTTAAGTATTTGGTCATATTGGTATCCAAAATCAACATAATGAAAACTCCAACAAACGGTGATAGCCCAAAATCATTATAGTACCACTACTGGGAGCAATAGTGTGATAACCAGCTAGCAGAACACTGCAGTACTTTATTTTTAGATGGACTATTCCTATGCTATCATATACCCCATCATAAGCCATCATCTCCAACTGTGAAACTAAGTTAGGCAAAGGGTGGCAAACAGATCTATAGGATATTTTTAATAATATTAGGAAATAGCAGATACACTATGGAATCTTTCAAATCCAGCCTATAAAATTTACTTGGCATCTATCTTGAATAGAGGTGGGTTGACTCATCGATTACATCTTGAAACGCTATTATAAATAAAAATAACTTTATATAAATTTTTTTGTCAAGCAAGAATATTAAAGATTATTTTGCCTCATACAAACCAGTAATTTTCCCCTCCTACCAGACCATATTCAAGGGCTGTTTGTGCTAATATTTTGCAGTCTTAGATCACCATATGATCTGGTTTACAGTAGACACCTATTGCCTGGAAGGTAGGAATTAATCTATTTCCATAGATCCCTTCATATAGAACATTTTCTTAGGATTCAGAAGGCGTGATAGACTCAGCATCTCACATGGTGAGGCCATAGAATGGTAGTAATCTTGATGGAAGATTTGCTCAAAAATGGTTGACCCACTTTTGACATCACACAGAACATCTGATACTGGAATGGAATGACTAGAAAACAGCCACAACATGTAGTTTAGTATTATGACTGTAGCATACAATGCTACGAATCCCTACAACCTGCACAATAAATGGCAGCTTGCATGACATGGAATTGCTAAGCACTCATGATTTACTTATTGGAGATTTGAATACAGTATTTTGAGTTTTAATGTTTGTTTAAAGATACATTTAAAATAAAAAAGAAAATACCATTTGAGTGTATTTAGGTTTACATAAAGTATTTGTCAAAGCATGTCTTTCTACATTATATACTGTTAACCACTCCAGTGACACTAATATTGCAGGATACACTTCTGTCAGACCACTATGCCCATTACTTTTTAAATGGATCACTCAATTTTTAAGCAATCAGGCAAACAAATTCAGGACCTAACAGTCATTTTACTTGAGCTATGAAACCACCAGGGAATCATGAATGCCATCTTGTATTAAGTCTAGTTATAGGCACAGGCTACAGCATGTAATAAAAAATACAGGGCTGGCATAACCATGAGGCGAACTGAGGCGGCCGCCTCAGGTGCCAGACTGTGAGGGGGCGCCACTAGGACCCATATTGTAGAAAATTGTGTCTGCTGCTCGTGCATAGGTATTCTCTCTGCTCTAGATGCTCAGAGATGGTGGCGTACTGTGCTGGAGGAAGGAAGGCACAAGAGACATAACAGGCAGCCAGGAGAAAAGGTGGCATGGGGGCATCATTTGAGCTCCCTGCCTCAGGTGCCAAAATGTTGTGGGCTGGCCCTGCAAAAATAAATACAAAAAAAAGAATCAGGAATGCAGAATTTTCAGATTACCATCCCAACAGTCATCTGATAATCAACCATAATAATGTCTGTTTCATATGAGTCCCAGAAAATACTTTACTAGTACAGGTTATATCTCCAAAAACCAACACCCTCTGTTCCAGCAACATCTGTCATCCAGCAGGGCCTTTGATGCTCCAGAACTAGAGAGCAGGGAGCCTAAGCACAGGAGGGCCATCCAGGGCCAGGGCAATAGGGTCAGCAGCCTGGCTGGGGGCAGTGCAAGACCTGAAAACCAGCACAAGACCAGAGCCAGAACCCCACGGCAGCATCTAGCAATCTGCAGCAGAGTGGGGCTGGGCCAGAGACCCTTGGCAGCATGGGTCAATGCAGAGTTTAGTGCCGGGAGCTTGGGGCTGCAGCCAGAGCCCCATGGCAGCATGGGACCAAAGTCCACCAGCAGCTTCCTGGAGCATGGGGTTAGGGCCAGAGTCCTGCAGGAGCCCCCTGGAGCTTGGGGTTGGGGCCAGAGCCCTGCAGCATTCCCTTGGAGCACAGGGCCAGAGGCCAACAGCAACTACAGGGTCAGAACCCCATAACAGGAGCCAGAGCCTCTGCTGCCTAGGAAGCCAGCAGCAGTTGGCCATGCATACCAGCCAGATTGGAGGTGGGGGAGGGTGTGGCAGGATGCCTTGCTGGACAACATTCCCTATAAGATGCACACCCACACAGTCGCACAGCCCTTTTCTGAGCCCCACACAGGGGTTCAGAGCTCCCTGTGCAAGCAGGGAGCTCAGTTGATCAGATACTGGCTCTAGCCTTTACTCGGGTCCTCTTCCCCCATCCCCTGGTGGGTCTGTAGTAGCTGGGGGGTGTTAATGCAACACAGATCATGCCAGCTGAAGAGGAGGAAGGATTGGTGCTTCATTGCCTGTCACCGGCCATGTGGGAAAAGCTGGGTAAGTTACAGGCCTTGCCAGACTGGGTCAACTTCTCTGCTTTTCTCCCCCTTCCTGCTTCTCCCCTAGCCTCCCATTGGGGAATTGGCTGGGTGCAGATCCCTTGTTTTCCCCTGTATCCATTCCCCTGATGCCCAGTCAGAGAAGGACAGTTGCCAAGCCTTTTTGCTTCTCTGCCTCCTATATTATTTCTGCTCTCTCCAATTTGCACTGGTCTCTTCCCCCTCCTCCATGCTTTCATACTTTCACCCCAGAAGCAGGTCAGTATCTCCTCCAGTGAAAGCAAGATCAAACTTCTCCCTGCCCTATCACTCCCCACCCTGTCACTAAAACTGCCCCAGTTTCAGCCAACTCTCTGATCACTTTAGCCCCCACCCCACCCTTTAACTCTGAGTTCCATGATTAGAAAGTTTCCCTCCCTGGCTGTAGGAAACAGGACAGCCATAGTCTACATGTGTACAGGCTGCATGTGGGTTGGAGCGGGGGAGGGGTGATGGTTTTCTGGTCAAATCAAGACATTTAGTAAGGATTTTGGGGAGGAAGGGAAAGAACCCCATGTTGTGAGGAGACATTGTGAGAGGTGAAATGCAAGATTTTGGATAAAAGAGTAAGATGATTCAAAAGTTTCAGAGGGGTTAGTCTGTAAGGGTATGTCTACACTACCACCCTAGTTCGAACTAGGGTGGTTAATGTAGTCAATCAAAGTTGCAAATGAAGCCCGGGATTTAAATATCCCGGGCTTCGTTTGCATCTTGCCGGGCGCCGCCATTTTTAAATCCCCGGTAGTTCGGACTCCGTGCCCGCGGCTACACACGGCACGGAGTAGGTAGTTCGAATTAGGCTTTCTAATTGGAATGAGGTATAACGGTAGTTCGAATTAGAAAGCCTAATTCGAACTACCTACTCCGTGCCACGTGTAGCCGCAGGCACGGAGTCCGAACTACGGGGGATTTAAAAATGGCGGCGCCCGGCAAGATGCAAATGAAGCCCGGGATATTTAAATCCCGGGCTTCATTTGCAACTTCGATTGACTACATTAACCACCCTAGTTCGAACTAGGGTGGTAGTGTAGACATGCGCTAATAGAATAAACTTAAACAACAAATAGTCCTGCAGCACCTTTGAGACTAACAAAAAATGTAGATAGTATCATGAGCCTTCATGGGCACAACTCACTTCTTCAGATGATTGTGAAGCTATGTGTTTCCTTAGGAATAGTGCAAGCTGAAGCCTCTGGTAAATTTGTTCTGTAGATTTTATCTTAGGCAGTGTAGCAGTGGTGGGGAAGGCAGAGCGGGAATTCTTTTTAGTACCATAAGAGTTCCCTTGGAAAGGACTTGAGGGGAAGCTGGCTGTATGGGGTATGTGTGCCAGGACATTTGCATGATTACATTTCAAACAAAGTTTACATAGGCATTAATGGCTTAAGGTAAGAAAGAAAAATATTCTTTTTGCAGAATTTTGAGTGTTGTACATATCTAAAATTCTGATCTTAATGATTTTTAAAATCCTGTGCTACTAATTAATACATGATAAACTGTACTGCATTAAGGCAAGATCTTTGCTATGTAGTAGAGTTCTACCTCGTATGAGTCAGAAGAAGCAAGTACTAGGTGTGATGCTAATTTTGTAGGATCTTATTTGCAAGATCTTTGAAATATATATCTGTCTGTTAGAAAGGATGATGACACATGTACTCTCAGGTCTCAGAGGGGTGGCCGTGTTAGTCTATAATTAAAAAAAACCTTAAAAACCAACAATGGTCCTGTAGCACCTTAGGCTACAAAAATATATAAATACTATTATGAGCTTTCGTGAACACAACCTACTTCTTCAGCCAAGGGTAGTGTTAATTTTCTTTTTATTTTATTTCATATTAAATAATCATAAACATTAATTATGTCTCATTTTAATATATTTTCTTCA